AAAAAAAAAAAAAAAAAACTACAGAAAGGCAAAAAAAAAATGCAGAAAAATGTATTCAAATAGTGACCAATGTTTGCTTAACGTCAATCGTCAAGTTAGCACAAATGCATCGAGCATCGGCACACTGATACACATCAACACCAACACAACTGAATTACCAATATCGGGACAAATATAGGTGGAGGGAGGAGGGGGAGGGGGGGTTGGGGTGGAGATGGAGGAAAACGAAGCGAGGGAACAGGAGAAAAAGTTTGAACTGCAAAATACTGATGACAATGAAAAATTGATGGACCAAAGATGCGGAAAAATGTCATGAAAAAATGAGGAAAAATTTTGTCTGAATAGGAGATAGAAAAAATGATGAGGAAGACGGAAAACATAATGACTGGTTACCGGAAGACCGGTTTTAAGGATGAATATCAAGGCAAAGAGGCAATCACTGTCTGTGTATACCTGACAAATAGAAAATAGAATAAAATAGAAAAGAAAAAAAAAATGAAGAAGACAAAACTGTGTTGTTTCTTTTCTCAGAAAATCAAAAAAAAAAAAAAAAAAAGAATTTTTTTTCACTTTTTTTTATCTTTTCCAACAAACAAATTTTATATTTGCTTTTGAAGTATAAACTGGACAAATAATATAAGTAAACATTACCACTGCCATTGCTGCTAATGTTAGCGCTGGTGCTTAATTGTTGTTATGGCACTGTATCAACGAAATATCCAAAAATAGAATTCTTAACATTTGATGTTTGAACAACAAATTCTCCCCCCTTTTTTTCTTTTTAATATTCACATCCATTCAACCAAGTAAAAATAACCTTCCTTCCTATCTTCCCCATCCTCTCCTTTAAAAAAAGGAAAAAAAAAGGTAAAAAAAGCATACTTCAACAAACAACAAAGTACAATACGATATCACACAATCAGGCTAAGTGTAATCTGTTAAAAATAAACCAAAAATCAGGTTATAAACTGTCATTAGCCTAAGTTGTTGCAAATAATGCATATATATATTTTTTTTGCAACAACAGCAGCAGTTGAAAAAAAAAAAACTGATTCTGCAATTACTTCATCTTCATCATCTTCTTCAGCTTCTTCTTCGCTACATTGTCAGACAATTTGAACGTCCGAATAGATGAACGT